GATAAAAATACTGTATTAGTTTTAGTGAGGTATTTGATTGTCATTATCAGGAGAGAGGTATATAGCTGCTTTCAGGGGCAGGGGGAGTCTTCAGACTATGCCTGAAAAGTCTCCATTTTCAATTAATATTCTCCATCTTCAGTTTGAGGATCAAACACCCTGGGACAGAATTATATCCTGGGCAATATTTTGATTGTGTGTATTCACACTGATTTATCTTGAATTTAGTAAGAGCTATTGGAACACACTGCATTGGTGTATGGTGAAGTCTCCTTGTTCGGAGGTTTTTTAACAGAGGCTGGACATCCATCTGTTGGCAATACTTTGATTGTGAGTTCCTGCAGGGCAGGGAGCTGGACTGGATGGCCCTTGGGGCTTTTTCCACTCTATGATACTATGATTCTATGAATTTGGCTACTGTCATCCTCCCACCCCTAAGCTGCTTATTTCAGTGTCACTGAACACTCACACAGCTCATGCTAGGAAATCAGGGATCTCATGTAGAGCAACCAGGTAGATATGACTGCATTATGATGATAACACTGCATCACGATAAGGGCAAGTGAAGTCAATTGAGAGCAAAAGCAAGGCAGTGTCAAAGAACAGGAACAGATTCCTCAGCAATGCTCAAAAACTGTTGGAAAAAGAAGTCATGTTTCGATGCTGTCAAAAATATTTGCAAAAATCTGTAAGTAGCTTCAGCTTAACTCTGGTATTAAAAAGGAACATCTTTGGTGGCATCAAAGGTGAGCTGGGGGCTTCAGAAATTAATCTGTTGGCATAATTCTTCTTCCTTTCATGCTAATTTTATAATTGGGCAGAACCCATTAAGAAAATATTTCCCATTTACTCCTTGCTATGCAAACCCTATTTGTTTTAATGAAGCAGTGAGAGAAATCCTCAAAAGGATGTGCCCAATATTAAGGTGCTCCTTTCATTACAAGGGAGAGAAGCATCTAGCCCACTTTTTTCTTGACAAGCCTCTCAGATTTTCCAAAGGTTCCAAAAATCCAGCTTCAACACTTGCTAAAGTGATAATTGTTCTCGATAGGAGGTGAGCTGTGGAAAGAGTGCTTGTTAAAAGAGTAATTAAACAACAGTTTCAAAAGCTACACAAACAGCATCTGGCTGGGGGTTCCCCCTCCCTGTGCACAGAAAGCATCTCCATCCACTGTGTTGCCACTGCATTCATAAAAGCAAATCACATCAAGGCATTGAACCTTGGGAAGCTTCAAAATAAGACCTCAACCAACTCTGCTGTGAGAGAAGATGCTCCCTGCCCTTAAATAATGCAAAGTAATAGGCTACCAGTTCAGTTATTTTTAACTAAAAAGGATAAAAATAGATGAGATCTCTCATCTTTCCTATGACTGAATCATGATGTGGAATAATGAAGGCAATGTATAACAGTGGAGCGGAGGTCTCTCATAGTTGAGCTTAACCAAGGGGTGGGGAGGAAGCAGTTGAGGGATTCTTGTACAGTGATGGTCAGGCTGCACTGGAACAAGATAATGAACAATGAGATTGAATGGGACAATCCATTGGGTCCCATCCAAAACAGCAGGTTTAAGACAAAGCTTTGGATGTGCTCCTTCCTCCAGTGGTGTAGGGCTGAGGCTGCAAAGGGGGAAAGAGACCATTTTCCAGATGTTGGTGTGTCAGAAGCTCAGGACAACTTACTTTCTGGACTAAAACTCCCAAGATCCCCCTATCGTTATGGTTGCTGGTGATGTTGGTGGAGAGATTCTAAGAACAGCAGTCCAAATAAAAAAGTTTTGTTCCTTTGATCAGGTGGTATTGCACCTGTAATCCTGGAGTAGCCTAGGGGATGTTGATTGTTGTTGCATACTTTCAAGTTGTGAAGTCATGCAAGGTGAATCTATCATGGGTTTTCTTGGCAAGATTTGTTCAGAGGAGGTTTGCCATTTCCCCTGGGGCTGAGAGCATGTGACTTGCCCAAGGCCACTCAGTGGGTTTCATAGGCAAGCTGGGAATCGAACCCTGGCTTCCAGAGTCATAGTCCAACACTCAAACCACTGTACCCCTTCCAAAATTTACCTTCTTTGACTGACTTAGTGTTAACCAAGGAGTATTGACAACAGGTATTGTAGTTAGTCTCAGTCTCTGAAGAAGAGGTGGTCCTGTAATAACTGATACTCATCCTT